TCATATAATTATTATGGGCTTATTTGAGAAATACATTCTCTTATGAAACAGTTCAGTATGAAAAGACCCCATCTCATAGCTTAAAAGTGGGTTTGGGTGTGTGTGTTTTGTTTTGGGGGGTGCTTTTTGAGCATGGAATCATGATTGAAAGGCCAACAATAAAACAGAAAAAAAGAAAAACTTACACTGGAATAATAACTCAAAAATTTGGAGGTTTATATCAAATGTATTAGCAACAAGCCAGACAGGAAAAATGTAACTCAAGTAAATATCCAGGAAATTTAAGAGTAATTTAAGCCAAAAAGATAATACTAGTCGATTTCTTTAATCCTGATGGTTTTCAACCCCTGGGATCCCACACAAAATTCTCCAGCCTCTCTGTGCTCTGTTTAGAATCCATATCCCTCGATTGTTTTTCCCTTTGTCACTGTTCTGTAGGTTCCAGGTAACCTTTTCTACCCAAAACAACTGATAAATGCCACAGATACATTTGCAGTGCTTGAGACACGCGAGATCTACCCACTGCCATGCTCCAATTTTAGGGAAATTTTCTCAGGTATTACCTAAAACTGGACCTAAAGAATCAAATTTTGAATCCAAGAGAGGATAGGAAGTAAGGAAATTGAATTTTGCCTATAACTGGATCCACCTAAAGGAATCACATGGCTGATTTTTTTTTTTTTATTAAATAGCAATTCTTGGTGACATAATGCCCAAACTATCACTAATTATTCTTTTTTTTTTTTGGTTTTTTGAGTCAGGGTCTCCCTTTGTAGTTCAGGCTGGCCCTGAACTCACTATGCAGCCCAGGCTGGCCTCGAACTTGCAGCGCCCCTCCTGCCTCAGCCTCCCGAGTGCTGGGATTACAGGCCTGTGCCACCACGCCTGGCTACTAATTATTCTTTCTAATAAATCAAGTGTTCCAGAGGTCATATATCTGGGCAGTGAGTTAAAATATTGAGCTTTTATTCATTCTACATTATAAAATGCAAAGAAAACTAGATCATATGGTTTTTCCAGCACATGTAAATTTTTGTAGTGCTAAGAATGGAACCCAGGACTTTTCGCATGCTCAGTCAGTTCTCTACCACTGTGCTGCATCTCCAGCCCATACATAAGTTTCAAAGTAGATATAACTGGTAATTCTACAACAGGAGGGCTCATCCCATAGAAGTTGATCCCTCCCATTGTAGATGAGGTGAAACCAATGGGATGGGCCTACGGGGGCAGGACAGAAGCTTGGCAGTGTGTGTTTGGAGTCCTAACTATCTTCATGTCACAGGCTCTACAAGTCTCCCTTCCCATCTTCTCACCAGCCCAACTTTCAATGGCTGGCATTTGCATTCATTTGCCATTGAGCTTCTCTTTAGCACTTGGGGCCCACTTTTCCTGCCCCTGTGGCAAGTGACAAGTGCCAGGGAATTATTTCCTTTCTTCCACTTCAAGAGCAGCCTTCAACCAATGACTAAAGGGAATTAACAGATGAATATTGCAGCTTCCTTTCACTTTGGGTATAATATCTCTGAGGCATATGCTGGCCCCTAGATCCCAGTCTTTCCAAGCAGCATTAAGCTTCTGTCATCCACATCTGTAAGTAGTTTGATAATATGCCCTTTAGTAGCTGCCTCCTTTCCCTTTCTCACTCTAATCCCTTACCAGTGTTCCTTTCACGTCCCTCCCCCAAATTACTCACGCTCAAATCCTTGTCTCCAAGTCTGCTTCAAGAGGAAATCAGATGAAGGCACTAAGCAATTTTGCCTATATCAAAATTAAAAACATATCTATGAAAGCCATAGCAGTTTGGAACACAACTTCCCAGCAAACTGTCAATGAATCCAGGATCTCTAAAGTGACTTCCAGATAACTCAAGAGACAGTGCCCAAATCTCAGAACAAAATTTAATGTAATCTGGAACATTAAATAATGTTTTACATAGCATTTTCTGAAAGAAGGAAGAACTATGAAGTACAGAGTGAAATTCAATGATACACAATCATGATTCTGAGTGGCTAGGAATCATTGTCTCCATGATGGCCCTATGACGTATGCCGAGCTAGCTGTCACTAGAGCCACTTAAGATGTCAGAGAAGTTGGAAATAAATTACATGTTCATCTATGGTGAAAAACTGTAGCTGTTGATCTGTTAAAAAAAACTGTACACCCTGGAAATGAGAAGCAAAGATGGTACTGGATGAAAACCCAGTAAACAGCAGCTGCCCAGTGAGAATAGCAAAGCTGTGTGAGCTAATAAGCCCTGGATTTATTTGCTTTGACATTTTTAAAAGGAAATCTAATTGGATTATGTCTTCTAGTTTAAAATTTTCTACTGTAGTACTGGCCACCAGATGCATGAGGGAAAAAGATTGGGAGCCAATTAAATTCCATGCTTCACTGAAACAAGGTTATTTTTATTCTTCCCAAATACAAGGCTGATAGAGTGATGTTAGTGATTTCACCATGTTACTTCCCTCTGCTTGCTTAAAAAAGGATGTTTCTATGGGAAATAGCTACAAATTTGTAGAAAAGTCCACTAACATATATGGAATCAAAATTATGGATTTTTTGGATTTTCTTCCTTCTAATAAGAGTGGCGTTACACCTCAAAAATAATCAAATTAGGTGCAAATTCATAAAAATAATTACATTTCAGCAAATCAAGTTGAAATACACTTTAGGAAGAGGATTTTGCATGTACTTCTTGTAGTAATCAAGTGCATTCTGGTAACATAAGGAAAAGCTCACATATAAAGAGAGATATGTATCTCATTATAGCCATGCCAGTATTTCACAATTGTTTCTCTTTGACTAAGACAATGCTTCAATAGAGTTGCCATCTGTGTGAGAGTATAGCTAAAAGACAGATACACCTTTGAAACAAGAAAGCTTTCCTTGGAACTGCATTATATGGAAAGTAAAGTTTTCGAGGAAACATAGAATTTTTGTAAAATTTAGTGATAGGCTTATGTGCACAATTCAAGTAGATGTCATCCAGTATAAATTCCAGAAGTATCATATGCTCCTGTGTTACTGCTTTGTGTTAGGTAGCAGGTGGCAGCACCACTGAGCTAAATCCCTGACTCTACCACTGATTTTTGACATCTAATGAGAATAAAAAATAACCTTTTATTTCAACCGTTAAATTCAACCACAAATATTAGAAACAACTGCTTATTTAATAAGCTGGCACTGGATTCTGACTCGATGTTCTTACTCTTAAGAATGCCTCTGAGTCTTAGCTTTCTATCTACAAATGGCGAGTCACACTTATTCTGGCAAGCCCGTTGGAGCAATAAGATGTCATGGGATATTCTGTGCTCTAAATGCCAACAAGTACGATGTCCAAAGTTATATCACAAGGCGTACCTAATTAACCCCTACTTCCCACTGCCAAGGGCATATATCATCCTGTTGTGAAAGAGAGAGTTTTAGAGCCAACTGCTAATGCTTCTGCAGTTACAATGCTCATAAAACAAAGCCATATCCAATTTTTTCTTAGAAATGTCAAAAGATAAGACACTAGTCATACAGTGTAAGTTATAAAGTTTATATGAGAACCGATTTAGTGGATTTCTTAAAACATGACTTCTGAGATTAACCAGACAGGCTGTACACAGAGGAACCTATTCTGCCAGTGTTATGGGTACCATCTGTGAACAAGCACAGTAGAGCAGTAGAGTGGACATGGGGTCTCCAGGTTATGACAGCACCAGGGCAACATGAAAGGTCACAGAAAGTCATATAACAGACTGAGAGGTAAATTACAGCTTCAGTGATTTCACATGGGCTCCTGAGGGGCTAGGCACAAGGATCACCATGGGACCCCCACTCCCACCCCAAGAAACCTGGTTACAGGTCATAGACAAGAATCACAATGGGTGACACAGGTTATACTCATCCATGCACGTAAAACCTCTTACCCAGAGGAGTAGGACAAATCAAAGCTACTAGCTACATCATAGTCCTCTTCAAATTTTGCTTGTGTGTTTTTGGACCCCACATCTATCAGCTGAGGCCACTTGACTACCACATATACAGGAGCTACATCTGAGTCTGGGAGACTGGTCTAGACATCCAGCAGACCAAGCTCCAGAGGCTATTAGTTTGAATGTGGCTTTATACCCTAGCTCTGGGGCTTGTTCTCCTGAATAAGTCTTTATTCTGGTAATAGACTGTGCTGGGTCATTCTCCATTTGACTCTGAAGATCCTTCACATTGCTCTCTGCCATAGGAAGCCAATCTATGTGGATCACATCACTCCCTGAGTTTCCATTTCTCTAGCTTCTAGAGATGGTCAGTGTGGCTTGTGTCCCCTCCCTGCCCACTCTATGCAATGGAGTTAATCAGACTACACTGAGAAGTTGTCCTAAATCCTTACCCAAACATTCATCCTATCCACTAACACTGATGCAGACAGAACTTGAGTTGAATCTATCATAATACTAAGGCCTATTTGGCTTATATCAGCCAATAAGGCCATTTTCATTTCTCAGTATGGTCCCCTATACAGGAAAGAGATAATGCTGAGGAAAAGATTCAGTCCAGGAGTGAAAAATCCTCTAGGTTCTGAGTGTTGGCAGTACAGGTAACTTCCACAGAGCTGTCCATGTCATCTCTGGAACTGTAGCCACAGCTAGCCTGTCTAGCTTATTATTATGTAGCTTTCCCCACACCAGACCAGGCCTTCAGCTGGGTCCTGCTTCCACACAGGTGCTCAGCCTTGCCACTCCTTATTGCCAAAGGACTTTTAACCTCATTACATCACACTTATGGGTAGGGCACTTTTACAACCTGAGAGACCTTGCCCTGAAGTTCCACATGTGGCTTTTGGCTATGGCACATTCATGAAATGTTTGGGATCTGAGCCAGAGTTTTTCTATCCCCAAATGGGCCCAGGGCCCCACACATCTGGTGTAACTTCTCCATGGCCTCTTCTGGCATAACTACTCTCCTATCAGTTCCCTGACATGTGTGGAAGATCAGACATAAGGAAGGAGCAGGAATCAAGAGAAGGCTGTGGAACGCTGTCAAGCTCTCATTGACACCAAAAACAATCAACAAGGGCTTCAAGAGTGGCTGTTTGCTAAGTTGTGATGGACCATGTAGAATCTCCATGTAGCCCAGCACTGGGAGTCCCCTACATGGACTGCTTCAGCTACAGAGAGATCTCGGCTACACACAGCCTCATTGTCCTAGGTCATATCCCTTCTTGAACCGACTCACATGGATAAAAAAAGTCCAGGCCATTTTTGCCCAACTAAGGACAACTCGGAAAGCTGTTCTAGCTCCAGAGAGCTCCCCACAGGTCAGCCATGGTTGTCTTTAGACATGCATTGCATCTCAACTTCTCCCTCTGCTCACTGCTGTTTCTATCCTGTACCTTCCACAGCAGTTGAGGCTAAGGATATTCTCAAATAAACATCCTCCATGTGCTTCCTGAAGAACCCAACCTGTGACAAGATCTGATCCACAAGAGTCCAGAGGCATTATCAAATATGAACATCTTAGCATACTTACATGGTTCAGCAGATACTATACAAGTCATTACTGATTCTAATCGTATGAACTATGCAACATTGTGCTCAACCTATTCACATTAAATATTTTCACACGAGATTATACAGTCTCTTTCTGAAAGAGGACAAGCTTGGCAATACAAAAGTGCTGTAGGCTCTCTGGAATTTAAGTTCTCATTGTTGGTTAAAATGATCAGATAGCATTTCATACTTCTTTTCTTTTTTCTTTTCAATTGACCAAAAGAGTAGTCCCTTCCAAATGTCTTCTACAGACTGAAACACTTCAAGGCTTGGCCAGAAGAACTGATGAGAGCCCTGTGAGTGAAGTTCTCCTCCCCATGGATAACTAACAATTGGAAGAGCCAACTGCTGAAGAACAGGCTCTTTCGGGTGTGACATTCCCGGTTATAACTGTCCTAATGTTTTCCATTAAGGAGAGAATCACCCATCTGAGCCTAGGAAGGTATTCCTGAGGGCATAGTCCCCTGATTTCAAGAAGGTTAAGGCATCTTCATTTTATAAACACTAACAGCATTTGATACAGAAGCCCTTACTATGAGATGGGAATTATGACAAGTGCCTAATGTACACTATCTTGGTCTTCACAATAACCTTACTGGTGGAATTAGTCTTACCTCCATTTTACAAATGGGGAAACCTGAAAGGCTGAGTAACTTGTACAAAGCCACCCAGTTAATTGATGGAAGAGCTAAGGACTTGAACTAGAGTCCCCGTGATCCCAGACCTTCAGCCCTGTACTGCCTCTCTAAAGCATCTGAATCCTCAGGTCCTTAGACATTAAAAGAGCAGGGAGCCAGTTCCTGGGCCCAGTAACTGTCTGAATTCAGAAAGATACCATATGTATCTTATGTACCATATGTAGTTAGAATAGTATTATTTTATGAAACTTTTGTTCCGTTACATACTGCATGCTGTGTTGTGAAAGTCTTTCTTACTGAGAGTTGTAATATAAAAAGGTGATTAAATTTCATTCAAACTCAACAATCATCAGGAAAATAAAAATTAAAGTAATAAGATAACATATTTTGCAAAAAAGAAGTAGAAATAACCTGATTGCCTCTTAACAGACAAATGGTTGAATAAACTATTGTATATCCACAGTAAACCTATTAAAAGAACGGCTCAGGTCTATACACATTAAGCAAGAGGAATGTCCCATGATTAAGCAGCAAAAGCATATGCAGATAAATGCATGTGGTTTGATCATAGTTTGTAAAATGAATGATCAAATTTCCAACACAGAGGTGAATTGGGTAGTAGGTGAGTGGAATGGGAGAGAAGTGGAAAAGACCAACAAAGGCTGTTGGTAGCCAGAAAAAATAAGTACGTGTATCATTTTGAGTGTTATGGGAAAGAGGTCATATGCAAACAGTACAAGTAAATACCAGTTTAATAGTGACTACAGTTGCCCTTCAGTATGGATCTGAAGGTGACCAGTCACAGGACGCCTCTTCCCCATACCAAATCCCTGCATGCTCAAGCCCCTTATATAAAATGGCAAAATATTTGGATATAGCCTATAGCAGTGATGACAAACCTTTTAGAGCTTTCAAATGATAACAAACAGCCCACTGCAGCATGTGCACCTTAGGTTCACCACCACTGACCCATACAAATCCTCCCATACACTTGAAATAATCTCTAGATGACTTAAAATACTGAATACAATGGTTTTTCCCCCCAGTACCAGGGATCAAACTCAGGACCTTGCGCTTGCAAGGCAGGCGCAGTGCCACTGAGCGAAATCCGCAGCACCTAAATACAATGTAAATGCCATATGAAGTTGTTATACTCTATTGTTTAGAGGAACATATACAAGTCTGTACATGTTCAGCACAAATACAGTTTTTTTCTTGAATATTTTCTATCCATGGTTGGTTGAATACACACCTGTGGATACAGAAGGCTGACGATATTAACAAAATTGTAGAAAATGTTTAGGAAAATCAATAGGGGGAATCCCCAGGTCCCTAGACATTAAAAGATCAGGGAGCCATTAAACCCACCTAGGTGTGCGAGGCATGTGAGGGTGGGCACCAGAACCAGAAGTAGGCAGGTACTGCATATGGACAGGATTTCCAGATAGGCCATAAAAACCTTTGTAGAAAGAGCGTGTGACTAGCAGGGAGGGAAATCATTTCATTCTCCCACCCTCCACTTTCCTGCTGGTGGATCTCACTGAGAAACTGAAAATGCAAGGGCCTGGGGACCCACGGAAGCAGCCACTAAAGGTCAGGCACCAAGGAAGGCTCAGAGCAGGGTAGAGGAGACTAGAGACAGTCCTAATGGGGCAAATGAAGGACAGCCACAACAGAAAATTAGAACATTAAATGAAAAGGCACAGTATCAACCCAACCATTTTTTTTTTCTTTTACGTATATAAAATTAAAATATTCACAGCCAGGCATAGTGGTGCATTATAATCCTGGAACTCTGGGAGGCTGAAGCAAGTTCCAGGGCAGCCCAGGCAACTTAGCAAGACCCCCTCTCAAAATAAAAAAAAGCTCTGGGGATGCAGCTCAGTACTAGGAGCCTGAATTCAATCCCTACTACTGCAAAAGAGAGAAAGAGAGAGAGAAAGAGACAGAGAGAGAGAGATTGAGATTGATTGAGAAAGAAAGATCACATGGGTAAGAATTAAAAAGTTACCAGGACAAATGAGAGTATAGAATTGATTTGCTTTAGTGATAGTACCTTAGATTTGGATTAACTGAATCCATTATTTTTAATAGTAACTATTTTAAAAAGATGTTTGTGCTTTTAGTTTTCTCTTTAATTTTATTTTATTTTTTGCTGCTGGGAATAGAACCCAGGGCTTTGTAAATGCTAGGCATACACTCTACTGCTGAGCTGCACCCCAAGCCACTATTTCTCTTTTATTTTCTTTGCAGTAGAACTGATCTGAATTAAAATTCTGGCCCTACCATACACTTGCTGTTTCTTTAACTGCCTTATCTCTAAAATGGGAATGAAGAAAAGCACCTGCTTTATTGGGTTTCTATGAGGAGTAAATGAACTAAGCTTTCGAGATCTTAGACCAGGGGTTGGCGCCTAGTAAATGCTGTTTGCTATTCTATGGTGACAGTGTGACATCAAGAGCCTCCCAGTAAGTTTGCCTAAAGGTAGGACATCCAAGAATCTCACAGTAGATCTGCCTGTCTCTATCCCCATTCTGCAGTCTACCAACCACCCTGCCAGAGCAAGCTCCCTGAACATGTTGCTCTCTTCCATGAAATGTGTCAGTGATATGTATTTAAGGCTTTTTAAATCAGGGCTGGAGATGTAGCTCAGTGGTAGAACACTTTTCCATCATGTGCAAGGCCCTAGTTTGAACCCCAGCATTGAAAAAAAAAAAAAAGCTTAAGGAGATGAAAATGCTATAAATACCCTAATTTAATCATTACACATTGCATACATTTATCAAATTATGACACTCTACCCTATAAGTACATACAATTAAAATAAATATTAGTGGTCTCCAGATATTCTAGGAAAATATTCATATGTGCCCTGCCCTGGCAGGTATCTCCAGCCTCATAGTCCTCCATCCCTCCAGGTGTGCCTTCCCTCCAGTCACACTAATCCCTCCTGATTCTGTTCAAGCGCTGTGCTGCACCAAATCTCAGAGGGCTCAGTTGGGAATGCCTTTTCCGAACCACATTACTTCCCTCATCATTGAAGTGGCAAGCATCACCTCTCCGAGAACGCTTCCTGTGCTTTATCCTGATATAAAAGCAGCTTCCTCTCCTCATCCCATGCAGGCTGTATCATACCACACTGGTAATCCTGAGTGCTCTGATTCCTCAGCAGTGGGTCCCTCAAGTGCAGCAATGAGGATCTTTGTCTCTGGACCCCAGGACAGTGCAAAGAACTTGCTGAGGGCAGATATTTAATCCTGATTTGTCTAAGAATTAAATCTATAAATAAACAAGGTAAATTAAACTCAGTGATTCAAATCAGTTGGCTCTGTTTTGACTCCAAAGGCCACCATTGTCCCCAACCATCTGGAAGTTCTATGGCTAGCCTTGACACTCTGGAGTAGCTGGATGCCTGAGGAAACTCCCAGGGCCGCTAGATGGCTGAGGCCAGAAGGAGTTGGTCAGCACAGACCAGGAGAAATAAATGCATCCTTTCTGGGAGTATCAACCACATGATATTTGCTTTATCAAGGGACTTTCTGAAGAAAATCAATTTCTGGAGCATGTTAAAATACAAACAAACCACCACCCACCCACTCGCTCCTTAAAGACAGTTGGTCCAAAGAAATCTTAGAGAATTTAGACAATTCCACAGTGTTGAGAACACCATCTGATCACATGAACTTTGTTTTCCCTAACCAAGCATTTTCCTACTGAATTTTTATTTTACATTTGGCTCCACTGTGAAACATACATCCCCACATTCTATGACTGCACCCTCAACAAACCTGTGCACATAGCTGCAGATACACTGGAGGTTCATGGCATAGGCACCCTTGGAGATTTGCTCTTGGTGGCTTATGATGATGTTACCAGAATCCCTTGATAACAGTGTTTTCATCTATTTATAACTGTACCCTATTATCCTATTTTTTATATAATTGGATGTGACTGAGGGTAAAAAAAATCAGCTGCATAAGAAAAGTCATGCTCTTATAGAGCAGATGTTTGCAGAGCATGGAAAGTGAATTAGCCTTTAACACAAATACCCAGAAACACATAAGCACTCTGTCCAAAAGCACCGATGCTGATATTTTACATTGAAAAATAATTTAAAGATACAGGATGTTGAAATGCAAGTGAGGTAGCCATAGCTGGTTTTTAAAATAGGTGCTAATTTTACCTCTTTAATGTAATCCAGGGCTTCTAATTCCGACATTGGATTCATTCTCCAGTTCAGGGCAAGGAAAAATGATTTATAATTTATTTGTCCTTCACTGTCCTCAAACCTGAAAATATATAATTTGATTCAATTTGCAAAATTCAGAACCATGAAAACATATTATCATGTGTTTTTCAATATCTGATTTTTTTCTTATCTCTTATTAGCTTATCTACTTCTGATCCGTCAGAATATAAATTTTAGAGAGCAGATGTTTTACCTATCTAATTCACCAAAGTACTCCCAGAACCTAAATCACTTAGTAGGTGTTCAATAAATGTTGTAGCTGCCAAAGAAACAAATTTTATATTTAGCAACTAAGAACATCACTATATTTTTAAAAGAATATTTCGATGTCCTGGCACCTGCCTCACAAGCGCAAGGTCCTGAGTTCGATCCCCAGTAGCAAAAAAAAAAAAAAAAAAAAAAAAAAAAAGATATTTGTCTTTTTAGTTTAGTGGTTGGTTGATATTATGTCACTAAAAGAAAGTCTTTATATTTTTAAACCAATGCTATACCTATTAAATTTTTCAGACAAGCCTAGATTAATTTTGTCTCCTAGTATATTTTTAGGAATAATAAAACATGTCTTTATCATTTATTATATAGCCATAAAGGGGGTTTTTAGATCCAGATTTGCTAGCATCAAAGTATGTTCTTGATATATTGTTGACTGGAAAGGAGGTTATAAAATAGTATGTACACTTATGGTCCTATTTCAGGTTTATATTTATATAAAAAGGCACAAAAAAGTGGTAACAATATACTTATTACTAAGAACAGCTACTTCTGTAAAGAAATTACTATTTGGGCCTTTTCTTTATAATTTTCTGTAGCATACAGATTGTCTTATATTTATAATCAGAAAAAACAAGACCATTTTCCTTTTGAAAAAAATTAACATGATTATCTTGAGCCATAAAAGTATAACTCAAAAATAACACATTTATTAGACCACTCTTTCTGTTTTAAATTCATCCTTAACCATAATAGTGTTTTGGCCATTAAGGCACAATAATTTCAGCTAGGCATGGAGGCTCACACTTGTAATCCCAAACTCTGGGAGGCTGGGGCAGGAGGACGGCAAATTTGAGTTCAGTCTGGGCAACCTAGTGACTTAGCAAGACCTTGTCTTGAAATAAAAATTTGCAAAAGGGCTCAGTGTGAAGGGCCTGGGTTCTATACCCACTATTGCAAACAAACAAACAAACCCACAATAACTTCAACACAATTGTTATAACAACCTAAACAGTGCCTAATACTTTTTACTGCAATACTTAGGATATGTAATGCCACATATCCTACCTAAATTTGACCACATTCTGCCATTTTAGAAGGCCAAATAAATATCTCTTCATCTTGTAACACCATTTTTTTGAAGAAAGCAATAAGGGTAGTTTGTCACTAAGTTTTTGTTCCAAGCACCTTTCTCCAGGCTCCCGTTCTTAAACACTGTCTTCCTTCAAAGTGTCAAGAAAATAATAGTTCATATTTATAAACTAATAAAGATGAGCAACAACAAATGAAATATTACAAACTGAAGTCACGTAGACTCGGCCATCTAAACAAAGTGGAATAAACAGAGTAACCAGAAGAGGGGAAAGGGAATTCTGTAATTCTTTTGTGTACATTTTCTTTGGCCAAGGGTTCTGGGATACAGCTTTAACATGCCACCCCCTACCACTGTTTACCCTTTGAATTTTGGCTCGTTCATCATTTCAACTCCTTTAAAGGACATGCTCTGTTGAGCTTCTAGAAATGTAAAAAATAATTTTCTGTTGTTTATAAGCCACCTAGTTGTTGCATTCTGTGGTAGCAGCCTGAACGGACTAAGATAGGACCAAATATATTTTTTAAAAGACTACTCTAATGGATGCACTGAAAGTAGTGCCAGTGAGGGATGGCCAATTGTGAAGGTTTTATGACTGTAGGATTCCAGGAGTGTATACAGTAAGACACAGAAAGGAACAGAAGGAAGATTCAAGATGATATAAAGGCTTTTGCTTTATTTAGCAACTGAAAACATGGAGTTGCCCCAACTGAGATGAGAAAGACTACAGGGGCTGTAGGTTGCAAGGCAAGACTCTGATTTCAGTTTGGGGTATGTTACATTTTGATGCGAAGCGAGCAGTTGAGACTATGAGTCTAAAGTTCAAGAAAGAGGTTCACTTCAAGACTTATGTGGGGCCGGGGATTTAGCTCAGTGGTTTCGGCTGCCTGCTGCGCAAGTGCAAGGACCCGAGTTCGATCCCCGGTATGAAAAAAAAAGACTTATGTGTAGGCCTCATTAGCTATCTAGATGGTATTTAAAGGCACATGACTGGGAAAATGGATGGGATCACCAATGAAATAATTATCTTTATCTTTTCTTACAGTATGGAATTTGTTGGTAAATTCCCACAACATGAATTACATGAAACACTTATTTAATCCTAGAGTTCAGAAGTGTAGTATTTCAGTAATTTGAGACCTAGTCATTAGACTACCAAACAGATCTAGGATCATATCAGACTTCATTGCTCATATACAATCTACTAAGCAGTCCAGTGGGTTATACTTCCAAAGCATATCACAAATTTGCCCACTTCTGTGCATCTCTCTTACTGCTCCCTAATCCCAAACCACTATCATCTCTTACCTGTACTACAGCAATAGATTCCGATCTTGGCCGTACTACTTCTATCCACTCTTTTGTTGCAGCAGACCATCCTCAACCAGAGTGATCTGTCTAAAACAGGTCCACTCAATCACTTCCTTGCTTGAAATCCTCCAAGGGCTTCCCAATCCACTTACAGGGCAAACTAAACTTCTTATCGGGTCTTATAAAACCCAACTTGATCTGATTTCTGCTAACCTCTCTGATCGTATCTCCCCACTGAAAACTCTCTCCCTGTCACAATGTTTCAAATCTACTGGCCTTCTTCTGGTTCCCTGATCATGCCAAGGTTGTTCTTGGACATGCAAGGCATTTGCTCCTTCTGGTCACTTTGCTGGCAAAGTCTCAATTCAAATGTCACTTCTTTAGGAAGGTCTTCCTGAAGTTCCTCTTGTCTGAGTCACTCTGTGTGAATGTGCATTTGCCCTAGATGATGGCAATGGAACTTACAGAAAAATCCCTATGAGTCACTACAGAAAATTCTATGGGACCGTGTTACCACTAACTCTGATACCTCCTCATGTTTACTTGTTTTTTTCCAAATACCCAGACCTCTTCCCTGCCCAGTTATGATCTGTGAGACTCCATACATCCAACCATTTAGAAGGGTTTTGGGGAAGGATATTTTTGAGTCAAATGATACTCAAAAAGAGTTTTGAAACTAGAAGAGCCCATAAAGTGGTAAGCACGATGCATCCATACAAACATACACACACACACACACACACCATCGCCAACGTCTAAGACACCAGGAATAAGAAGAGGATCCTAAGAGCATACCAAAAGAACAAACAGTGATGGGAAGAATCAGGATTATGCTAAATTCTCAATCATCATAACAGGAAGTTAGTAGATACTATCTATAAAAAATAAATCAAGAAATCACAGTAAGTTCATGCTATTTAAAAATGCCTGAAGAAGCAGCTAGTAGGGTTGAAAGTCTGTGCTGATATTACCAGAGTCTGCTGTTGTTGGAATAAGCTTTTCAGAATGACTGGGTTATTTCTGACCTTGAGCATGCATCAGTTTGATACAAATAAAAATTTAAAGAGTGTTGAAAGAGATAAGAGACCATGAAACATGTTTTTCTAGGTAATAAACATAGAAACATCAGTATTGGAAAGAAAGGAATGCTACTATTTGAGAGCCTGTTCACTTGTCATGAGTCTCTCTGTCTTCCTCCCGCTCACTCCCAAAATCTGCATGTAGCTTCTTTCCTGGACTGCTAATGTGGTGATATTTTTCATGTCATCATTTGCTATAATATGTACTCTGATACACAATATGCTTGTTAAAGGAGGTTGTAGAAGAGAACTTGGATACAAAGATCTCCATTTCTAACAATAGGACCGGATGGAGAAAGAGGAGGAACTAGGGAAACAGTTCAGAGATGGAAAGAGGTTTGCATATGAAGGTAGGTCACTGCTCCATCACCTATCAGGGAAGCTTCTTTGTCTCATGATTAAAGGCATCATTTCCCAAACCCCAGCCATCCTTTCAAAATAATCTGGAAAAAAACCTATGAGTCATATACAAAATATATCTCCTTATTTCATAGTCACTCCAGGCTTTCAATCAAAAATAGAATCTAGATTCTCCACCTGAGTTCTCTACTCGCCAAAGGACATTTGGCTCTTGCTAAAACTGTGATCCACGGTTAAAGGAGAGAGATTTGCCACTCTGGAAGAAATTCGTTTGAAAAGGCTGTGAAAGCAATTCCAAAGAACTTTCTATGGCAACATTGTTGGAATCAGGGCACAGCCTTCCAGGATGACTGCCCTAAAGGGCAACACTAATTCGGCTTTTAAGTGTTTCTACGCTTGTTAAAAAGTCAGCCTCCTTACTTTTAAGTCCCAGCTCACAGTGCTAAAGTGTTTTCCTAAAGCCCCCATAAATTCTTCTTTCCCTTTGATACTTGGGCAATTCACCATCTCCTTCACTTCACAAACTATGAGACATGTTTGTGGAAGAAGGGGGAGGGAGGCCAATTTCTCTGGTTCCTCTCTAAATAATAATAGCCCCCAAACATACTTCCTGAGGCCTTGCTAGGTGGGAGTTCTTAGAAGTGAATCTAATGGGACGTTTGACTGATGTGTGTGCTCCCCCCTCCCCAAAATGATGAATGGCTTGAAAACTGCAGCAGCCATCCATCTCCTTGCCACAGGGAATAATGCTGAGCTCTTAATTTTCATCCTCTGCAGATGTAAAAGGCTTAGTGGCAGCTGTATTTTGCTGAAGCGGAGCCCACCTCCCCTCTGTTGCAAAGGCTACCTCACTGATGAGGGGAAGGGTCTGGAGGGCAGTGAAGACCCATTTTTGACTCACTTGGTTGCCCTTGGTTTTAGTTGATTACCAGCAAACACAGGGTGCACCCTGAAACACCTGGTAAAAGTCTTCGAGGTCAGACTCCT